TGAAATATACCATTATTATTATTATTATTATTAATGTTTATGGACTGCCGAAGGCGTTTGAGGATAGCCTTTTTAGTCAATTTAAGAGCTGAAGATGTTAATGCTATGGGACGAAAACGTTTGGAGAGGATAGAGGATTTAGATGCTTTGGGGATTGGTATGATTGTGACCGGCCTCCAACAGTAGGGGATAGTAGAAGTGTGAAGAGATTCATTTGCAATAGAGGTAATTGCCCCAGCTAGTGAAGCAACACCAAATTTGAAGAGGGCTGGATGTAAATCATCCGGGCCTGCAGCAGAAGACGATTTGCCACTTTTTAAAAGTTTTAACACATCACAGTATGAGAGTGGTTCCACGTTACAAACATTTTGTGACGAGTAGGCAGGAAGAATGTCCGATGATTGGCGCAGGAATGCGGCATTGAGATCATCAGCGTCCATATTTACGTTCGACCGTACTTTCTTCTTATCACAGAGAAGTCTTATACCTTACCACAGGTGTTTGCTGTTTCCAGTCCTCAGAGTTTGATCAGAGAATAATGCATCCAATCTATTTACTTCAGCTTTGATAAACCTGGACAAATACCTAACAGCTAAAGCATTGTGAGATTTGTAGGCACGTTCCTTTTGTCGTCGCAGTGACTTTAGTAGGGCAGAGTTTATCCTTCCGTTGGATACATAGAGACTTTGAACAAGGCAGCAATAATTAAAAATGGCAGTGATTGTTTGGGTGAATAGGGGGACACATGTAAGTAGAGAAGGTGATGAAAACCATCGGGAGGCCTGTCTGAGCGATTCATTCAGGAGAGAAACACGTGCAGGTGAGAAGTTACGAAAACGAAATCTGATGTGCTCAGATTGGGAGAAAGATTTGTACGCACAATGTTAATAAACTTTAGATCTAATTAAGAGTAAGCAATGGTCACTGGAAGAAATAGGAGCTTTTATTGCTAAAGAAAAAAGGGTTGGGTTTTTGGTAATAACTCTGTCCAGTATAGAGTTACCTCTTGTGGGAGAGTGACAGAGATCTGTTAATGATAAAAGTGGATAAGTGCTAGTATGGTTGAAGTCACCAACGATTATGTGCAGGTTAACATCTAAAAATTGGGGCAATAAAAGGTATGAAAGAGTCGAAAAATGACATACGATCAAACTGTGTACAGGAGGGCGCTGTAAACAAGTTAGTCAAAATTGTGTGAGTAAAACGGGAAAATCTAGTGTGACATTGTATAGTTAAGCACTCAATATCTTTTGAGTAGTACTGATAAACAACATGGGACTTGCCACACCAGGAAACATTGACATATTTGGCGACACCCCCTCCGGTCTTTTTTCCTCCAGGTCCACGATCCCGCCGGTAAACTTGAAAACCGTCTATTGACACCAGAGAGTCATCTACGTCTTTATTCAACCAGGATTCTTGAACACAGACTGCACACGTGTTTGTATGAATTCTTGATCGGAGGACACTAGTTAAATCTGACATTTTGGGAAACAGGGACCGAGTGTTGATGCTGAGCAATGAGGAGACATTCATCTTTGACAGAGGGGTGCAATTAAGGGCAACTTGCCATCCTGCACGGTTGCGTTTTTTGGTCTAGCCTGGACAGTGAGAAAATGGAGTCGCACAAACCGCTGAACCATCGAAGAATGTCCTGGCACGTTTGAAATAAATAATATCATCCCGTGAGTAACGACGGTGCATGATAAAGAGTGAAAATGTGAAAATTCCCACAATCTGACAGAGAGCGTGCAAGTGTAGCGCAGCCAATCGAAGGGCGCGCCAAAGTACTGCACACCACACCATTAGTAACCACCATCCATCCTTCACTCTTGTTCACGGTACCTGACTTCGTCAGACAATGGACGATTCCACAATACCGAAACAGCTTTCAGCTTTTCAGCTCACGTTTCATTTACTCAACGAATTCATCATCTAAACAAATCAAATCCTCCATTACTCTTGTACAACAGATAGTAAAGTTGTGAAAGTATCCAGTCTAGCCATAACCTGGGAGGCCAGCGCTGAGGTGAGCGAGGTGTAATGCCCGTACGAAGCTTGCAAAGACGGGTTGTGCTTTATCGTGTAGAAGAAAAATTCAGCATATAATACACTTTTCGGCATTTCTCCATGACTGCTAAGCAAGTATTGTGCCGCTTTAGCTAGGGAAGGAGCCACCGAAGGTGGTCAAGCTTAGAAGGCAGTTTATCCCGATCGTCAATATCTTTCACATTCTATTAGTAAGACCAGTACAATATCACTGAGGATGATTTGGGGACAATTTTGAACACAATTTCAGGTGAACAATTGCTTCTAATCAATCATAATCATGCCTTTACATTTCGCATGAGGGGACAAAACCCAACTGTGGTACGTTTCTCTCCTTTGGTGATTGACTACTGCTGTCTGTTGAGAGACAATCTGAATGACTCAGATCGAAGTTGTCTAATTCTTCACTCAATGTTCATCACTCATGCGGTTTAGATTTTGACAGTCGAACATGAACAAACTCAAGCGTATGCTTTCATAATAATGAATAACTCACTGAATAACGCATAATCAGATGGGACACAAACCGATACAGTTAATTCTCGTAGAATAAACACGCAGAATGAATATTCCGGAACTTAGTATATAATCACTTGTATCTTGTTTGTCTATAAACTGCATAATCGTATTGTCAACTTCCTAACATTCGGCTAATCAGATTTTGGGTGCTCGATCTCATCAGATTGGACGGAATTCTATTCTTCTGCTTGGCTGTCTGGAAACTGTATCGCGATGCGTGCATATTGCCCTTCGGTCTTACTCCACAATCGTTATAGTTTTCTTCGGAATAAATGACGTGTTTATTAAACGTACAAACGAGTGGATCAGACAAAATAATCCATTTCAGCTTTGTTCGATTTCTTTCAGCCATATCAAATCATAACTGTAACTCGTATATTTATCTCATCTTTTGAAACGGCTGAAAATAAAGTAAATCTCTGTTGGTAGTAAACCAACGTGATAAAAATGAGTGTTAGGAGTATCTACTAGTATGAGCCCCTCTGAGCTGGTAGATTTTCGTTTCGCTGGCCCATCCATTCATCTTTCACCAGTTTGGTCTACACCCCTCACTTGATTCTCATACGTGGGTGGATTCATGAAGCTGGTGTGTGAATCAGTGGCCACACCACGTAAAACCGCTTGAAAGACGAACTAAACATCTTAGAGACATGGCACGGTATGCACCTGGGTAAATAATTTGCTATTCTGATCCAAAAACGATGCAGGAAATCTATCAAACTAGCAGTGCTGCCGGAGGTGAATCCATACCAAGCGATTAGTAATTGAGTTCATAGAGAGCCACCAGAAACCATATGAAAAAACACGGTAGCCTTAGCTGTGCAAAAGTAAACTCGAAGGAAATGCTGCATAATGCTGGGGATTTCTCTCATACTAGGCCCCTGTGAAACTTCGTAATCATTCATGCAGACAACTCATCCTCCTCAAGGAGTCGATCGTAGCGGAGTAAACTAGTCGTAATGATAAAAGGGCGATTTATCTTAAAAGGAAAAGGAAAGAATTGATTTGTCATTTAAGCTACACACTACCCAGGCAATGGGGCTTTGCATCTAAAACACTTTTCTTGTCGAGCTCCGCTTATAGCCGAACCTCAAACGCTTGTCGTTCGTTTCTGTTTTCTGAACGGATGGCTATTAGGCGACAGTGAAGTAATCTCCTTTATGGTTGTATATTCCTCTACAACAGGGTGACAATACACGGACGATGGCCTTGCAGGAGGCGTTGATGAAAAAAGGTAAAATCTTTCTGGTCGCCGGTTCTCTTCCCCCGACCGATTCCAACGCAGATAAACTGTATTTTCTTCGATTCGTATGCAATTTACAGACACAGGTGGATGATGTGGAGTTCGCATTTTCAATCTTGAGTGAAACAACCACTGAAGTGCTAAACCAGATCGATTAACACAAATTTTGATTTTTAATGCATCACTTGAAGACTGGATTTTTTCCATCAATTGTCATGTCCATCTCGATAAAGCAGATTGTGTCCGTCGTGCTAATCTACACTTCACCCCGGACTGTCCATCGAGTGTTGATGCGATCGATATATCGATCATATTATGTGAACTCTTGAATAATGAATGATAGTTTGTCTACTGATTCCTTGTTTTCAATGATTGCCAGTGCATGGTTTTTTATCCGACCTGTGGCTGATAAACTGTTGTTGCGCCATTTCGCCTATTCACATTATTATTAGTTATATCCATATGAACATATGAATATAAGATTGATGACTCTTCAGGGAAAGAATGCATGCCATCATAGGAGTTTAAATAGCAGAAAAATCACTCCAGGCATTTTTTCTTGGACCCAAATCAACCTTCAAATTTGACAAATTAATTGTCTCCAGCTGACAGAATTTTAAAGGAACCACGCGGAATAATCGATTTGATCGACCGATTTGCGTTTATTCGTTGTTGCTACTCATACTAAGGAAGTAGTGTAACATCGTTTCTGTAATTATTGAAATGCCACTGGGACTGTCGAAAGAGATGAGGCAACCATCGCAAAATAGAGCGTTTTTTAGTCATTGCGGATTTACTTGTTTTTTTAGAGATTTTAGGTCCAAAAAGTTCCCCAGAAGTAAAATTCATTTTATACCCAGCTATCTACAAATTGCTCTTCATTATTGAAGATTCAGCTATTTTGCGTGCTCGCTTATTTACCCACCAAGGGGAAGTCGACAACATGAGATGCACCTGTATGTGCGTGTGTTCGTGTCCGTGTGTTTTGTGTTCGGTAAGTGGAAAAGAGCGGAGGAAATTGGACAAAATATGTTTGAATCTTGATCTCTGAACTCGAAGTGGGTTAGTTCGCGCTCTTGAACTCCCGTGGCGGATATCCGGGCAAATATATGCACACACACCCACTACACATTATGATAATTATTTTCCCTTGCTGCGCGAAAGGCTCGACTGTCATAATCCGGTACGAGCTCAGACCCTCAGCCTCAGTCAAAGGTCTTGTATTGTGAGGAATTACTATCAGAAGATATGAATCATTTGTTTCTTCATCTACATAGTTTGTTCACTACATTGATCAATAATTCACACACACACACACACACACACACACACACCCNTCGGGCGCAAATCTCCTCTCGCCAATCTCCCTCTCCTCTGTTGCACACTGGAAGTGATCTGTATACCCTGCTATTGTACACGATCGGTTTGTTGTGTGTGTGTGTGTGTGTGTGTATGTGTGTATGTGTATGTGTGTAATAAGAGAGTTCATTGGTTGTCGATATGTCTGTATGTATAGTTTTAATCGATTCTACTTGAGCTTAATCGAATTTAAAATCGATACACCATCAATCCGAAGACATGGTGAGCAGACATGACAGTTCATGCACCGTTTGAAAACAGCAGGCAAGCTACTGTTCGGGTGGCTAGGTACAAAATTACAGATCCTATTGAACCGTCTGCGTTGATTTTGACCACGCATTATTTTTTGTGCAATTCACGATTTGATTCACTGATCGTCGAATAAACAGTAAAATTGGTTAGCTGATCATCGCTTGTCTGGTCCAACTGTTTGTGTACGCTATGAATCACGGCTAGTGCGTGAGCTAAGGCGCCTCAATGTCATAATGTAGGGAGCAGTGGGATCAGGATAGACGAGCAATGCATTCTGCAGCGAAGGTTGTTATTGGTTTGGAATCTGAGGTCCATCCGAGTCACACTAGTCGGTAAACCTGATAGATAAAAAACGACCAATTCCTACCGGTCAGGATCAAGCTAGGGGTAGATGGCGTCTGTAACGTCAGCTCACAAAAAACCTCAAGAAGGAACGTGAGAACTGGTGTGCAGAAATAACTTGTAAAATGAAAGTAGCTGTTGCTTCAGGTAATGGTCACAGGCTGTTGTGACTGATATGCAACACTGGAGGCCGGCGAACCTAGGCTTGTGAGATAATCTAGGATAAAATCGGACAATCTATTATTCAATGGCTTGATCGCTGGACGGAGTATTTTAACGAACAGTTCAGCTGTCTTGGTGTTAACCAGGTTATATCAACTAGTGCAACTAAAGCTGCTTGGGTAGTTTCATATGATACTCTGGTAGAAACAGAAGTCTGATATTGCATTTATGCTCTGTAGAGAAGAAACGCAGCAAGACCAGACGGGCTTCCTCCAACTCTCTTCAAGGTTAGGGGGGTGATAGCTTCTCAAGTTCCATTACTGACTTACTGTAAAACATCGCAACAGCACAATTCATCATCTTGAAGGGAATCACTGATTGTTCTAATTTTCAAGAATGGATCCCGCAACTGATATTCAAACCACCGCTGGATCAGGTGAATCCCAAACATCACCAGTGTTAGCCTCACTCATACTTCGATTTCCGTGAACAGCACATTGGATTCCGGCTTCGTTGTGGGTATATCGATCAAACTTTTACTTTGCTTCAGATCCTCGAGCTGCTTTGCACCTTCCGCAGACTAATGATCGTTGTAGTCTTTGACCTATATGCAACATTCAGCTCATTTGGCCGCATGTGTTCGCGTCTTCTAAAAGGGATGCCCGGAAGTAGGTAACCTTATTGGGATCACTTACCTGTACGCTCTGGTTTCGTCAGGGTCTAAGACGAGATAAGTAGATCTTTCAACACCAGGGGCAGTGTTGGTATTGAATGGACAGCTGGAGAAAATCTGTGCTAAACAGAGTAAGATAATGATATCGTCTGTCTTTTCGAATGTATAGGGGATGCGAAGAGTGCAATCGATAGACTTACATATGCTGTTACTCAACTCGGTAGGTGCTTTGCACCTTCAAGGTGTAAAGTGATGCTGTAAGACTGGAAATCTCCTCGTCCCAATCTGAAAATGAATGACCGGAATAAATGATAGTGGATTGGTTTTCCTATATAGATAGTTGTGTGACCAATGACGGTAGAGCAGCAAAGGAGATAATCTCTTGCGTTTCCAAGGTCCGAGTGGCGTATGCAAGACTGAAACACATCGTGCGTAGACGTGAAGATGCACTAAAGTGGAAAGGGCCTGTATACTGGGCCATCTTTCGTTCACTTCAATTTTATGATTATAAGAACTGTGATTCGCGAGTAGAAGATTTCCAGTGTCTAGAAGTTTTTGATTATTGACGCTTACATAATTTGGTGCCCGTGGGATTGAGAGGACGAGTTAGTGATCTGGAGTTAAACCGTCGTGTGTTTAGGATTTTATCGAAGATAAATATGCTACCGCATTGAACTCAGATTGGTAGTTTCTGTTGGTTGGGTCAAGTACGGCGCATGCCCAGCTGTCGTCCGCCACACCGTGCTTTATTCTCTGTAGCCACCCCAGGCTGGAGGTAATCATTTGGAGGTCAACAGGTAACTTGAAAACTAGGTACGAAGAAATGCATAGAGCGATTAGGTGCCTTACATTTCAGGCTGGGATGCAAAACACTCTTTAACTGGGTGGTTGAAGGAACTGAAGGATATGACAGCGAACCGGCTAGAGCGGTGTTCTTGTCACTTCTTAGTAGGCCAGAATGCTTGAAAAGGTATGTATGCACAGTTATGTTATATGCTGTGTGCTGACCAAAGAGGTTCAGTTTCGTACCTCCGCGTTCAAAATAGGTCTAAACGCTATCAATTTCACAAACTTTCTATACATTGCGATTTTGACAGCTACCAGTGAATTTCGCTTTACTGTACTTCGCTGTTTGATGACGGTTATAATGATAAGGAGGAAGAGGATGACTATAATGCTCATAGCCGTTCGATTGTAGATGTCGGAAATGACCTATTGCATAACATAAGTATCGGTTTTAGTTCTAGATTTTCAGCAAGCTCGTTCTGAAAGACAGGCAGTCTACCCAGTCTACCCGCCTCTATGTCGTTCTATTGGACCATCCACCGAAGCACACGGACTGCCTATTGCAGACAAATGCTTGGTTGGATTCCAGTGGGATGCTCCAGTACGATCGGAAGTCTTGTAGCGTATGATGATTTGATCGATCTGCATTCGACACTGGCTCGAGGAATGCGGCGATGATGGTGTTGATGTTGGCGTACTAAACGTTTTCCTCAAGTTTTGTTGAGCTTTTCCAAATAGATCATCTGCTAATTAAGTCAGGTCTGGTTCTGGAACCAAACGCCTGGATACCAATGGCGTTTGTATTACCTAATCCGTCCCCACCTGGGCTGGTAACCAAATGTCACACCTTTTCTGGCCACCCGACTGTACGAATTCAATTTTCGCCCAGTCGCGTTTTAGTATGGTAATTGGCCTTGCCACAAGTACAATTTTTGGAGTTCCTAATCAAAAATGGCAAGAAATCAATGCCACTGTGAATGGTGCATTCAGAATTGGCCAATCGATCACGGAGCAGTATATTATTTAGTGGAACCTCATAGACCTGGGCGCAACCAGAGAAAGAAAACTTCAGCTTAGTTCCGAGGTTCTCATTGAGCAACGAACAATACGGCCAGCTCTTCTTAGGCTGGAAAATGTAGGCCGTGACCGGGAATACTCCAGCAATATTTTACTATGAATAAACGGATACTGCAAGTTGTAATAAACAAAACTGCATCTAGCTGAATACCAAAGCTGTCAATCGTACCATCAACAGGGTCTCTGTGCAAAATTGCTTTCCGAACCGTCATGAATTTCAGATTTCTATCGCAGACAGCGTACTGTGCATGTTCTCTTGTCGTCATGTCATTCCTATATGTCGGAAAAGTATATTGGTTAGATGTCTCCGACTAAAGGTGTGGATCTGTTGCTCTCATCCCACTTCATCTAATTTGCGTCGGAAACCTTCCATTCTGAAACTGATACCTGACTTACGTGATCACCGGGTTAATCGGGGAACAAAGATATCTATAAACTAAGAGTGAAACAGCACGTACTAGAACACGGAGCGTTATGCGCCATGCGTGTACCCCATCATTGTGCGGA